AGGGGAGGCCTGTGCTGAGGGGACGGAGGGGAGGGGAAAACGAAGGTCGGGGTGGAGGGAACCAGGCAGGGGGAGGACCCGCGCGGAGGGGAACTGGGACGAAGGGGGAGGAGAGGGAGGGTCCGTGCCGAGGGGGACCGGGGTGAAGGTCCGCGCTGAGGGGATCCCGGGCCGCCGCGGCTTCCCAGAGTGAGAGTCGGCTGAGAGGAAGGGAATCCCCGGGGTAGGGGACAGGAGGCTGGTTCTCGCCCGGCGAGACTCTGCACGCCCCTCACCCACCGTTGCGCGGCGGCGGAGGGAGCGCGGCGGGCGGCTCCAGGAACCCCGCCGAGCCCCCGCCGCCTCCCCCTCCGCTAGGCGGCCGTTCGTCCCGCTCCATGCGGTGGTGCTCAGGGCCCGCGCTCGGTTCGCTGCTGCGCCATGGCCGGCGCCCTCGTCGTCGTCGTCGTCCGCTGAGGGGGAGGGGGCTGTCAGGGGCCGGCGGGCTGCCGGCCGCGGCGCTCTCTGGGCCCCGAGCCGCCGGGCTCCGCGCCCCTCCGCGCCGCGCCCCCTCAGCACTGGCCAGCTCCCACCCCCGACGTCACGCGCCGCTGCCACGCACTGCCCTACGGGGCACGCTGGGAATTGGAGTCCGCCGAGCGAGGCCGGCCACGCGGGACCCCACCAACTGAAGGGGTGGTAGGAAGGAAAAGCGGCCTTGAGAAGGGAAGGCCAAGGCCTTTCAATATCATGAACCCTGATGAAAACTTCTGGTAAAAATTAAATAAATATTGCTTCAGGGCCTTCTCTTTATTATGATTTATCCTTGTTCAACGTCCCCTACGACGCCTCGTATCCCCCCGCCCCGAGAATGAGTCTTTCCTAGGAGGCGGATCGCGAAGGAGCCGGGTGAGCACGTGCAATGAAGCCCAGCCCTGTGGGCGGGGCTTAGAGGGGGCGGGGCTTGGGTATTCACGAGGGCCTTCCTCCGCGGCTTCGGGACAAATTGGACCCGAGATTAAAGGGCCGGAGTTTAACTCGAGGTGACTGCGTTCGTATGCAAATGGAATCTATAAAACTCCGCTTTCCGGAGAACTCTTTAAAGCCTTTTACCTCCGGGTGGGCGGGAAAGGTTTAAGTTTCTCTTCCTCCTCTTTCATTCTCCCCCTGCCCGAAGAACAGAATGGCAAACTAAGCTTCAGGCCATTGATGCCGATAAAGAAACTCAGACTCTTGACTCCTGAGGTCTTGAAGCCCTCCGTTTGATAGGGTCCTTACCCGGTTTTGTTCGCCTTCCCTTCTCCTCTGCTTTCCTATCTGTAAAATGGGGTTGGAATAGGGACGGGGTCCAATTGGAAGATCCCAATCTCCCCCACACCCGCTCCTTGCCTCAGTTTCCCAGAGCAAAATCCCGGATTTTGCAATTTCCGCTGCTGAGCCCACCTCCTGCGGCCACCAGGTGGCGCGCGGCCTCCAGCCTCTGGGCCTGCCGGGGACGTACGCCTTCAGCGACCCTCTCAGGAAAGGGCTCATCGCGGCTGCCTTCCAAGGTCTAACTAAGCTCTACCTGGCCTGTTCGAAAACAAAGAACAAGAACACTGGTTCCTTGCCCGCCTCTACTCTGCTGGGTTATGCTGCAGCTTCCTCACTGGCTGCCCATTCCCCACCCTGACCCCTACCCCGCCCCACCAATCAGTTGGCTCCTCTGTGTCATTGCTTGCTTAATTTTCAAGTCCTCATCCTGGCATTCGCACCCCTGCCTGGTCTGACCCCTGCCACATTTCCCATTACACCCCTCCCCTCACCTGCTAGGCAGGATGTTTTGCAATGCTTCCCTGCATTTATGGGTTGGTTGGCCGTTCCTTACCGACACCGCTTAACCTGTACTGCATCCTTAATCTGCTCGGGCTACCGTTCTGAGAGATTTACATTAACGCTATGCTCTGAACCTCACATCTGCTCTATGAGGTAGCTGCAATATTGCCGCTATCACACACTGATGAAATCACCCATCAGTAATGGGGATTCCAAAGCCAGTCGGTCAGACACCTGAACCTGAACACTTGGCTCCTTCACACTACTGGCTTCACCCAACACAATCCCAAACTCCTATTCATCTTTCAATATCCTGTTCAAATAGCCCCTCACAGATATTAATGTCTCCCACCAGGGAACATCTAGTTCCCCTCTGTGTTCCCTTACTGCTCTGTTGAGCGCTCTGAACTCTCTTGTGGACTGTGAGAAATGATCTCTCTGTGATTGCTTCCCCACTACCGTTCCCCAGCCCCAGAGAGGGAGGGGAGCCCTTAGAGTTGGGGGTCGGGGGGGAGGGAGACAGAGGAGATGGGTCTTCTGGGCCATTCCTTCAGTTCTGGGTTCTAAAATGAGTTAGGACCAGGTGGCCTTCCTAGAGCCAAGACTTGTTTTTGTCACAGACCTCTGGAGGCAGTGAGTTCCCCTTCCCTGGAGATCCAATCAGGGGCTGAGTGGCACTGCAGAAACCTCCGGAAGGACTAGGGTTTCAGTGGTGGATGAAATTCTAAATCAACTCTCGAAGATGGACAGAAAAGTTCAGCCAAATGCCCAGCCCTTAGAAGTAGCTCCTCCTCATCCTTCAGACTCCAGCTCTGTTGTCACTTCCTCCCAAAAGCCTTTCTATAAACATTTATTTTATGTATTTATTTTTGGCTGAGTTGGGTCTTCGTTGCTGCGCACATGCTCTCTCTAGTTGCGGCGAGCGGGGGCTACTCTTCGTTGCGGTGCACAGGCTTCTCATTGCGGTGGCTTCTCTCGTTGCAGAGCACGGGCTCTAGGCATGCAGGCCTTGGTAGTTGCAGCACGCGGGCTCAGTAGTTGTGGCACACGGGCTTAGCTGCTCTGCGGCATGTGGGATCCTCCCGGACCAGAGCTCGAACCCGGGTCCCCTGCATTGGCAGGTGGATTCCTAACCATTTCGCCACCAGGGAAGCCCCCAAAAGCCTTTCTAGATCTCCCTTTTTTCTCACTCTCATCATTATAACCCCAACTGCTGAGCACAGAACCTGAACACAGTAGACACTCAATAAATAATTGCTGAGTGGGTGAAAAAACAAGTAAAACATATCTGATTTTTCTACTTAATAACTGCAACTTTGGTTACCTCCAAGCCTCGAAGTCCTGGTTTCTAAGCAAGGAGGGATAATAGTGATAGTTACTACCTCACAGGATTGTTATGAGAATCAAATAAGATGATGCATGCAAAGCAATTAATATAAGGTCTGGCATAATAAATGGGACCTGTTAACTAATGTTATTTAAAGAGTGGTCCTAATTCCCAGTTACTTCTCTTCTGAAAATGCTTCTTGGGAACAGTCAACTACCACAAAACTGAGAAAGGTGAGGGAAATGACTGTGTACTGAGACCCCAGCCACTGACTGTTCTAAGCAGAGAGGGTCCTGTGAGGTAGGCACTTACTGTGGACCCTTTCCCTTACATTGTCCCCCCAACGATCCTGAGAGGTCAGTACTTTTCTCCCCAAGTTACAAATGAGAAAACAGGCTCAGAAGGACAGGTGAAGAAGACTCCCCCCACCGGCAGGACAAAGGACAAAAGAGCTAGGAAGGAAAATATCTAAGGAGAATGAAGGATCTGGGGGTGGGGGGGAGTGCTGAGGTCAGAGGTAGACAAATAACCAGTCAGAGCTACAGCTAAGAACAAGGCAGGTATGGGCTCCATCATGAGGGCCTTGTCCTATGGTGGGAGAGACAGACACTAATCAAACAAAATAATCACATAGCCACAATTACACATAAGTGCTACGACTGAGAACACGCTTAGAAGTTCCTGGTGCTATGGGAGTGTGTGACAGGGCTCAATTTGGTCAGGGGCGGTGACTGGGGGATAATGAGCATTGAAGATGGAAGGATGAGTAGGAGTGAGTCACAGTGGGTGGAGAGAGAGAGTTTCAAGGGGAAGGAACAGCCTGTGCAAAGGTCCCGAGGTCATGTTGAAACAGAAAATTCATTGTGGCTGGAGCCTACCCAGGGACAGAGTGCAGGGGACAAGGGTGAAAAGGAGGAAGCCAGAGGAAACCATGGGGCCGTATGGGAGAACAGCCAGCAGGAGGGGCAGAATTCTCTGATGACAGCAGCCTTGCTCTTCCAGGACCTAGACAGAGAGTCCCAGCCAGGTTGCATGGGGAGAAAGGGCTGGGAAAGGGAACCCCCACCAGGTTCTGTTTGTTTGAGGTACATTTTGTCTATTATCTGAATAGATAGGGAACACACTGCAAAATTCCCAGCTTGCAAAAAAGTATTCAGTGAAAAGTAAGCCTTTCTCCTTACTGGATTCCCAGCAGCGGGCTCTCCTCCTTATCCATTCATTGTGTCCATTCCCAGATTGTGCGCATAAGAACACATACCATATTTGTTTTGTACACTAATCTAGCCCTCCCCAGGGGATCTCTAGTTATGAAAGAAGCTAATTTGTACTGAACACCTACTGCACATGATTCTTTCATTCAACTGAGAGTTATGGACCACCTGACCTTGTGCTGAGCCAGTGGTTCTCAAATTTTAAATCCCCTGGAGGGCTGGTTAAAAACCACAGATTGGGGACTTCCCTGGTGGTGCAGTGGTTAAGAATCCGCCTGCAAATGCAGGGGTCACGGGTTCGAGCCCTGGTTCGGGAACATCCCACATGCCGCGGAGCAACTAAGCCTGGGAGGCACAACTGCTGAAGCCCGCACGCCTATAGCCTGTGCTCCGCAACAAGAGAAGCCACCGCAGTGAGAAGCCCGTGTAGCGCATCGAAGAGTAGCCCCCCGCTTGCCGCAACTAGAGAGAGCCCACGCACAGCAACAAAGGCCTAACGCAGCCAAAAAAAAAAAAAAAAAAAGGGA